GTGTCTCTCTGACATGCTGTAATGTTGTTTATATGTTTGGTTATTGTTACCTATAAATTCAACAGGTTCCCTGTCTATGTATGCTATTGATTCGACAATGACCACTTTGACATATGAATTCAAAGTTCTCCTGACAAAGTGTCCCTCTGACATGCTGTAATGTCGTTTACATGTTTGGTTATTGTTACCTATAAATTCAACAGGTTCCCTGTCTATGTATGCTATTGATTCGACAATGACCACTTTGACATATGAATTCAAAGTTCTCCTGACATTTTATTCTTACTATGTTATTCACCAACCTCTGTTCTTAATATGCTAAAAAAATTTTTTACATTAATTATAACAAGTTTATCCGATTGTCCCCCTGACGTGACAAATAATACTTTAAAGTTTGGTCATCAAGGAAGTTGTAGCCGTTTCTCTTATACATACAGAACCCTCCAGTGGATCAGCAGTAGGTCTGCGGACTTACAATGCTAGAAATCTGGTTTCAATACCCGTGGTAGGCAGAGCACAGATAGCCCATTGTGTAGCTCTGTGCTTATAATACAAACAAACAAACTCTCATGTGTATATTTATATAAAGTCTAGTAAATATTAACAAGAAGATCTTTGAAAAACATACGATGAAACTAATTATTGCATTTTCAGACTGTTAAAGCTGGTAAAAAAAAACCAGCTCTTTGTTTTTTGTAAAGCCTCAGGTTCCTACACAACTGTAAAATAAGAAAATATATCACTTTTATCGAATACACGCTAATACAACGTTATGCTTTTCATCTTAAGATGATTTGTACATTGTAATTCTTCTATATATTTTTAACTGGAATATAAATCTTTAACTATATCAAACCCCTAAGGATTAATAGTGGAAAAGGCAGCATTAATATATATCAACTACTTAATTTAAACCAATTCTTGTGATACTAGAGTACTCTGAGTATCATGCCCAACATCCTTTGTTAATCATGAAGCTGTGTCTTAATACATTTTTGTAAGCTGTAATCCAAGAATATTGTTTAACAAATTTTAATGGAAAAAAATACATCTCATAAAAATGCTACTTGCACACGGTTGTTCCAAACTTCTAGATTACGATCATATCATTGTAGTTCTTGAAGCAGAAATTTATACATGAAAGAAAAAATTAATATACGGAATTACGATTTAGAAGCAAGTGACGTTTTTATTCTTTATTTATTTCGAAGTAAATTTTACAATACAACTCAATAATAAATATCTGGTATTTGAATTAAGGAGGTCGTAAATCACTTCTTAAAATCTAAAACTTACGCTTGAGCTATATAAGTAGAATAAGTTTTTCAAGGTAAACTCTGGAAGAGCTTACAATCTGTTGTACTTAAGTATTTTAACTACAATGTTATATTAAATAATTATGTCAATTATTTTTATGAACTTATACTCATGTATTTTAACTACAAGGTTATATTAAATAATTATGTCACTTATTTTTATGAACTTATACTCATGTATTTTAACTACAAGGTTGTATTAAATAATTATGTCACTTATTTTTATGAACTTATACTCATGTATTTTAACTACAAGGTTGTATTAAATAATTATGTCAATTATTTTTATGAACTTATACTCATGTATTTTAACTACAAGGTTATATTAAATAATTATGTCAATTATTTTTATGAACTTATATTCATGTATTTTAACTACAAGGTTATATTAAATAATTATTTCGCGAATTTTTATAAATTTATACTCAAGTATATTATCTACAAGGTTATATTAAATAATTATGTCACGTATTTTTTATTAACTTGTACTTAAGTATTTTAACTACAAGGTTATATTCAATTATAACATCGTGTATTTTTATGAACGCATTTCAATTCTTCTAATATACAATTAAATTGGCCAATAATTTACGTTATTTTTTATGACAGACAATAATACAGTTACGAGATTAAGTGGTTCCAGTAACAGTACAACACGACAAAGTTACATATATCTTTAAAATATCTAAATATGTTGTAATTTTTTCTGTCAGTAACGGTACTCCTTAAATACACCTGGGTTTCTAGTCTTTCTTGCAGTGAAAACAAGCACAGGTCCTGGCAGACTTGAACACGAGATCCCTCGGACCTTCCAAACACATTATTTCTACTTTCACCTGAAACAGAAACAAAACAATCTTTGTTTTTATTTCTTTACAAGCTGAAATACTAGTCAATTGACGTGTAATGTTTAAACTTAATTAAAGTATTGTGAGTTTAACAGCAATCGTATAATTCAAAGAAAAAATTGAACGTAAACTTCATCTCAAAATTTGAAAATTATCACAAAGCTTCTTCATAAACAACATATGCAGTTTGCTTTCCATCTACCAACAAATAAAGATTTTGAGGTAATCCCACCCTTGAACACCGTACATCTCATTGACCATGAGAAAAGCATGGTTGTTTGAGAAACAGTCCATCAACTTTTATACTTTGACTTTGAATCCCTTTAAAATATTCAACATTGTCTAAAGCGTCAACCTGCCAATATTGTTTGAGATTCACTCAATATGCTGGAAGTAATTAACCAACAGGCTTTACAAAATAGAAATAGGGTCAAGTTCAATTTGACCCTCTTAGGACATTCCCCAAAGTTCATAGTGTTCACATATAAATTTTGGTTTAGATTGGCCCAATAGGCTCGTAGGAGTTAGGGTGCAAACAAAGACACATTTTGTCTTTATATATATAGCTACTTAACCGGAATTTAATGGCGGTCAAATTTCACAGAGCTAGTTATATTGTCTATCAGATTCATGTCTTAGTTTAAGAAGTAAAAAAAAAAAAAACTCTCACTGTTAAGGAAGTAGAAACTTCAAATATCACAATAACTTATCTTCGTGATTAAGCATCTTTATTGGAAAGGGGGGGGGTTGCTATCTAACCTGAATTTATATCTAGTTAATGAAAGCTGCACATATTCAGGAAAACTGATGACAAGTATGGTTGAAGATAAACCAAAACTTTGCCAACTTTGTTGGTATATACTTGTATATACTTTCAAGTTACTATTCTAGGGATCTCTACATTTATCTTGTTCTACGCTTTTAGATCTACAAGTATGCTTTACGTGTCTCGGAGAAATTCTGGCTTAGTTAAACATACAATTTAGGTGAAACAAACAATGTCTTTCCGCCACAGTGGTTCTAGTAGAAAGCTCGTGCACGTATGTATTTTTCTCTAAGTAAACAGTAACAAAACTAGATATACTTGATTTGTTCGTGTATACAACGAAAATGTTTTATAATTATCATAAGCAAGCAAAATTTTGCATAGAGAGCTTCAAAATCCTCATTGGTACCGAAACCAATACTTACTCGCCGAAGAATAATAATAAAAAAAAGTCATGATCTATGTTACCTTCTCATCTGGATAAACATTTTAAGTACTTTAATGGGCTGATTTATAATTAATGTATATACTCCCACACACTGCGAGTAGCTTATCATTAAAGGGAAACTACCCGAGAACTTGCGGCGAAATTTACTCACCATTTACTGAAAAGAAAAAAAAAGAGTTTCATATAGCTTTCAAAAACCAATAATTTATGTCTTCATTATATTGCTCGTAAAGTCATTTCATAAAGCAGTTGTAAACCCCAGTTCTTTCGTTTATAATGAATATGCCCCCCCCCACTCTTCCAGTGACTTAGAGGAAAGCTCGAGGGATTTAACGCTAAAATTTTAGAATCTATCTGTGCAGTGGGCACAGCGCAGATAGTCCATGAATAACAATAGGACATTTAGTGGTTGTGTCACAGGACTTCAAAAGCATTTTTGTGGAGTTAAAACAACATTTTTTCTTGTGCAACATCCCAGGTGGGTCAGTGATAAATATCAGGACTTACGATGATAAAATTCGGAATCTTATTCCCCGCGGTGGACAGACCGCAAATAGCTCAAAATGTGGTTTTGCTTTCAAAAAATGCTAACAATATCTTCTTGAACAATCACTCGGTCCTCATTAAAGTTGCTGAATATTTTCTATTGCTGTATATTAAGCCAAAGTGGTTCTTATAAACCTTTCTAATTCACAGAGAAAAATCAACAATCCAGGAGTCAAAACTCTGCCAGTAGCGCAGCGGTATGTCTGCGGACTTACAACGCTAGAATCCGAATTTTGATACCCGTGGTGGGCAGAGCACAGATAGCCCATTGTGTAATTTTGTGCTCAATTACAAACAAACAAAAAACAGAACCTCTGAAACAATATCTTCAATCCTTTGCGAAACAAACGAAGGACTTAAGAACGTCCAATGAAAGATTAGAAGACATTCGTACTGATAACATTTCTTGAACTTTTAGGGAAGACACATGAAGAATATGAAAACATACCTTAAGAGTTCAGAAGGCTTTCCGAATTTTCTTTATAGAGGTTAAATGAAGTATATCAGTAAAGCTAAAGATGTCAAAAAAATTCGCTTTTAAATCTTTAACCTTCATAGAATACAAATGAAAAATATGAAAGGATCCACGAAAATGTCATCCGATTTTCGCATCCAAAACATCATTTTCAACATTTACAGAAGACAAACGAAGTCGTTACGTAATCAAGAGAGGTCAGAAGTCTCCAATATAATAAACTTTAGCTTCAGCTCTTTAAAAATACGAAATGAAACATTTAAAAAAAATCACTTAAAGATTAGAAGAGTTTTTCCATGTGAAATTCGACTTCAGCTTTTTTGAAAAAAAAAACGACGTTCTTAAAAGTCTCCATTGATGAAAGCAAAAATGAAATATTCAAAAAAAAAATCCTTAGAGAGATTGAAAGACTTTCACCTTCTGCAAAACATCGTCCTTACCTTTTTTTTACATATATTTTAGATTGTTTGTTTGTTTGTAATTAAGCACAAAGCTACACAATGGGCTATCTGTGCTCTGCCCACCACGGGTATCGAAACCCGGATTCTAGCGTTGTAAGTCCGTAGACATATCGCTGTGCCACTGGGGGGGGCATATTTTAGATTGTTTGTTTGTTTGTAATTAAGCACAAAGCTACACAATGGGCTATCAGTGCTCTGCCCACCACGGGTATCGAAACCCGGATTCTAGCGTTGTAAGTCCGTAGACATATCGCTGTGCCACTGGGGGGCATATTTTAGATTACATGTACTCAGAAATCAGTGGACTTCCTTATTCACAATAATACTCGTAACTAATTACATCCGTTAGTTTTATCTATTTACAAGTTTTAGTCTAAGATAATTGAAAAAAATTTGATTTTTTTTAAATTTTCCGAAGCTACAAATTAAATTACGTATAAAACAAAACCTGTTATTATTTCTTAAGTTCGTAATAACATAACAAAGTTCGTTTTAAGAGAACTGATAGTACATCCATATGAACTACCTTTCTACGTTTTTATCAGTATTGATTTAGTATTTCTTATTGGTTGTCTTTTCTCAAGGTTTGGGACCGAGATGAAGTTAGTGCGACCCTGTCAACGGCTCCTTTGACAACAGGACAATAAGGATGACAGTTATTTTTGTTCACATCTTAACTAAAAGGTGTAACACTATGACTGTAAAGATATGACCGACAGTGTAGCTCGTAGCTTAACACCACATGTTAGCGTAAGACATCTTGCTCGTACAATTGTTATTAAGTGGAACTGTCACGTGTTTTAAAAAAATCATCTATTTCACGTCACTTATTTCCGCCATTTGATTAAATAAGCTTAGATTCCCAAGAAGCATTGCAAGCTCTGAAAACAAAAAGTTTTTTGAAATCAATATTTGAGCACTAAGTAGTAAAAACAAATTGAGAAAAAGGTGTATACATTGTTTTACAAATAATGGAATATGATATGACACAAGAGGAGTGTTCCCTGGTGTAACAGCGGTAATTTTACGGAGTTACAAAGCTAAAATCTGAGGTTCGATTCCCCGCGGTGGACACAGCAGATAGCCCTAAAACAAACTCAAGAGAAGTTTAAAATTCAAGATATCACAGAAATTGTACTAAAAGAGTAAAAGAGATATTCTTGATGTTTCCGAAAAGTAAAATATAGTTGATAACTTAATACAAGTGAACCGATTAAGCATAGCTACTCTCAGTATACACATAGCTCAAAATGATAGAAAACGTTTACTATATACTTGGCCCGGTATGGCCAGGTGGTTAGGGCACTCGACGCGCAATCTGTGGGTCGCGGGTTCGAATCCCCGTCACACCAAACATGCTCGCCCTTTCAGTCGTGAGGGCGTTATAATGTGACGGTCAATCCGTTGGTAAAAGAGTAGCCCAAGAGTTGGCGGTGGGTGGTGATGACTAGTCTTACACTACTAAATTAGGGATGGCTAGCGCAGATAGCCCTCGTGTAGCTTTGGGCGAAATTCAAAACAAACTATTTTTCTTATAAGTACGGTTAGTATAAAATCTTGACATAAACATTATTTACGTTATTATGAATAAGACTAATAGTAAATATATATTATTGTGTTATCTTTCAGCTTCAACAGTACACAAAATAGCACACCTCTGTTTGCATATAGAGATAAAGAACACATTTAACGTTACCTTCAACTTTTTCTTTCGCCTTTCCGTTTGTATTTAGCTGTACAAAATATATTTGATTTAACTTTCCTGCTTTTTTCTTACCAAATGCGAAAGATTATTGCGTTATTGCGCAGTTTTGCTGCTTTCATTCCAACACAAACATAGAGCACGTGTTATCTTCTAACATAATTATTTTTCTGTTATTTATCCACTCGTATGTACAAGTATTGTTTTAATTTTCCTACTTGCATATACAAATAAACAAACAGCATACTTACATTCTTCAATTCTGTAGACAATATATGTATAGATATATATTTCATCTTTTTTGTTGCATCAATCTGACACGCAATACGTTCTTTTTGAATATCATTAATAAATAAATAAAAACAATACATTATTGTGCAAGCGTATATCCACTAAAGGTTTTACAGAATAATGGTGATGGTTAATATAGTGCAGCTATAAAAGATAACCTCACAGAAGTTGCAGCCAGAAAAGACAACCTTGTAGAATGGTAAGGGCATTTACTATGATGCAGTTAGAAAATATAACCTTACAGTATGGTTAGGACGTCTACTGTTGTGCAGCCAGAAAAGACAAACTTAAGGGTGTAAGAAAGTGTTTTTTTTTTTCGTACCATATCATTAGTTTGGTGTAGAAATTAGTCTGAATTAACCAATATTATACTGAAAAAATCGCCTATTTGATATATTTATATATGATAGCAGTTGATAATTAAAAGCATGAAGATAAATAAATAAATCTATCAAAGATGTTAGAAGAAGGTCAAATATTTGAGATTAAAATAATACGAGAGAGTTCTTTATGATTGAAATTCCAGTCTCTGTTATCTTCAGGGTTTTCCTATTGTTATTTCACACTCAGCGTGTGCTATGTTTGTTCCAAGGCTTCGCGATATTTCACACTCAGCGTGTGCTGTGTTTATTACAAGGCTTCACAACATTCTACTTCGAGTTAACTAACTGAAAACACCATAATCAGAGTGTTTTTCGAAAACTCAAAAATTTAACCCATAGAGCCTATGTTACGATTATTAAACTGAAAGGCTGCGCTATTTATCACTGCGGGTTGTTATTGTAAGGAGTCACGACTGAGAATGTTCTGGAAAACGTATTTGTAACGAGCAACAGCAGTACGGTGTATAAGTTTGTTTTTATCTAGGCTTAAGTCCACAAAAGTAATAAAAGACTGGAAAACCAAACATTATTTTTACTTTTTATTTTAAATATTTGACATAACGCTTTTAAAAGGTGTATTTTCCTACTTCTATTGAACAACCTTGCTTAAAAATTCTATATTTCAGTGTTTTTTTCTTGTGTGTTCATATTTTAAGTAGAACTCACGCAGCGTTAATAATGTGAGTTTATGACGTCACTTCCCCCCTTCTTTTCTTCTTGTATGCCTGAATATCTTTATATGTCTATTTATAAGTCACTGAAGACGTTTAAGTACTTCTCAAGTTATGATATATTTTGTATGAAATCTTTGCTCCCCTCTAGTATCTAATATGCGTATTTCTATCTTGAAACTGTAATGTACTAGGGAAAAAAAATTCAGTTTAAAAGTTATACCGTAACCAAGGAGACTGTCTCATTTGTGTATTTGAAGTTTTCACATATTTTGTTAACTTCTGTTACTTAGTTGCCCATTTATATGGGCATGTTTGCTCGAGGGCTCGTGCATATTCCGTTGCCCAGGCAAATGTTTCAATATACCCGTTTAAACATATCTAAGCTTAAATATGCTTGTTGAAAGACTAAGCAAAATGGTGACATTTAACTGATATTCACAGAAACGGTTGCCAATGACAACTACTATCTATTACTGTAGGGTATTTTCAATTATATTTTAGCGTGAAAGCCAGGTGCGATTTAAATAAAGAAGATTCTGATCTCTTTAAAGGTTTCTAACATTGGTTTTTACTAATCAGAAGACTTGCTACAAAATTTAATGTCACTCAACATCGCTAGTTGACAGTAATTTCACAATATTGGTGTTATATACTATGTGTTTATTCATTCTCTATCTGAAAGCAAAGTCTATGTGAATAGTCTATGGTTCTATACCTTCACAAGCCACGTTTGTGCACAAATATGCCTTTTGATTTGATTGATAGGTCAATTTCTTTCTCTCTCTCTTTAAACGCGGAGTAAATCAGCTTGAGTTGAATTATGGCTAGACTGAGAGAGAGAGAGATTTAAGACATATGAAAATTTTGCTCCGGCTTAGATACATATTTTCCTTTGATAAGATGCAATATCTTCCTTATTTTACATTCGTGAGTGGCCTTTTATTGTTTAAATATGATTCAAGGTCGAATTAGACGAGGAAGTTCTATGAAAACTCAATATATTCCTTACTTTACATTCGTGAGTGGCCTTTTATTGTTTAAATATGATTCAAGGTCGAATTAGACGAGGAAGTTCTATGAAAACTCAATATATTCCTTACTTTACATTCGTGAGTGGCCTTTTATTGTTTAAACATGATTCAAGGTCGAATTAGACGAGGAAGTTCTATGAAAACTCAATATATTCCTTACTTTAC